GAGCACAATTAAGTGTTCTGGAATACTCATACTTCACAATGTTGTCCATAGCTTGTCATGATCCACACAATCGAAAGCCTTTGTATAGTCAATAAAGCACAGGTAAGCATCTTTCTGATATGCTGTACTTTCAGTCAAGATCCATCGGACATCAGCAATGATATCCCTCATTCCACGGCCTCTTCTGAATCCGGCTTGAACCTCTGGAAGTGATTGATGTAAAGTGACTGATTACCCATTTTTTGGTAATAGCAAGAAATGGAAACAAGCAATAATTACCATGAAAAAGCAAATGGTTAATTATTGGAGTGCAGTAGCTCCAAAGGATAAGCAAGCACTGGACTATGAACCACAATGTCCGTGGTTTGAACCCACCAGTCATTCCGCTGGAGAAATATGAGGCTTTCTTCTCCCACAAAGATTGACAAGCCTTGGGAACTGTATACAGGGTTGCTATGAGTCAGAATTGACTTGATGCCACTTTAACAAAAACAAATAAACTATATCCTTAGTCATCAGGGAAATACAAATCAAAACCACTGCTGACATGACTGAAATTTTTACAGTCAGTTAACAGGTGTTGACAGGAATGTGGAGAAACCTGAACCACCATACATGCTGGTGGGAATGTTGTAAAATGGTGCCGCCATTTTGGAAAACAATCTAGCAGTTCTTCAAATGATTAAAAATAGAATTACCATGACTCAACATTTGTACTCCTAGGTATAGACTCAAGAGAAATGAAAACCTATGTCCACATAGAAACTTGTACATTAATATAGAAATTGTTTTATGGGAGTGGATTTGGCTGTGTATATTTTCACCAAAAATACAATAAAACATTTAAAAATAAACTCAAATCATACCCTCTTCATGTATTCTTGGACTAGCAAACTCTCTCCTCTGAATTCCCAGAGCTCATGCTATCGTTACAACTCATGTAGATTATAATCATTCACCATCTTAAATCTTTAACGTTCTTTTGTCTTATCTCTCCCTTCTGATTTGGTTGTATCTTGACTGTGTTCAGTTATTATGTACTATGAACTTACTCACTTCAGAAGCAAAATCAAGGTGCAAAGAAATTGATAAACCATAGTAACTGCTTTAATGTTAAAAATAGTTTTTTTCCTAAAAGGTCACACAAAAGTTGGGAAGAGATGGAAGAATATCATATCAACTAGCCTACATCAAAATTTGGGCTAAGGAAGGACAAAGAGCTGCCTAAAGAAACATAGCCAGAACAAACTGCAGAAATGGAGATGGCTGCTGGCCAACAAAACCAGTCTGGGTCAGCCACGTTCGTGAGCACCACTGGGGTACAACAGGGACAGCAGAGTTGTCAGACCCAATCATTCCTCCTTTTCCAGAGGAGCAGACGCTCACTCTTTAGACATGGTCTTGATGGTTTTGTGCTCCTTCATGGCCTTCTCCCAATCGCTGCCATTGAATTCCTCAATGACCACACTCCGCACAGTGCCCTCATCCAGGCAATGGGGAGCAATTCCTAGAGAGAAATGGCACAGAGAAAGGGCCCGATATGAGTGAAACCAGATACTCTGCTAGCTTACAGACAAACCCTGACTTGCAAACATTGTTCTACTATACATCAGACATTCCAAGTTATATACTATAGTCTACAACTGAAGGTTTCTGGTTTCCTTTCCTCATCTATCAGATGAGGACCAGGCTTCTTGATACAAGGACATCATTCAATAATAATGCAGTAGTAGGTAGGATAATAGTACATTAGACAAGTTCAAGCCAAGTGTAGTCTTAAGAATTCACCAGCTGTGAAGTAGACAAATAACGATTTCTGTGTTTGGATAACTTAAGAATGAAATACCTCCCTATTGGTACAGGATTTTATTCTTTTCAGAACCCTTTCCTGTTCCACAAATTAGCCACATGAGGAACACACTGAAATTACTAAAGGAAAGAGGCAGTGAGGGCTATGGGTGGTGGCATACCTTCCTCACAACACAGTCACATTGTATCACTTGGAAAGAGTTTTTCTTGCGAGTCTTGTTCTTCTAATAAAATATGCTAATGGAAGTGCCTAGCAAACCAGCAGGCTTGTCACACATGTCTGCTCCCATCCTGTCAACCAATATTTCCAACCTGGAGCAGCCCCAGAGCCCTGCTGTGTCCCACCTGAGCTTGTGGTCCATTTCCTTGACTTACCATAGCCTCCAGGGTTTGAGCGGGGAGTGTAAAAGCTCTGAACACCACATCTCTTACAGAAGGTGTGCTGGGCTTTGTGCGTGTTGAACGTATATGTGGTCATGCTCTCAGCACCCTAAATGAAAACAAATAAATGGTCCCTTTTTACAAAGAAAATTTTAAGTAAGTCATTAAAAAAAAAAAAAGCAAAGACTAATCTTTTCAAAGGCTTAATATGGGGGAACCATCCTCCTTACCCAGGGCTCTCAGTATTATAAGGACACAATCCATCTCCCACAAAAGGCTGGAGGCTTTCTGAGGACAGACTATCTACACTGCCCAGAGATAAGCCAATCTTGCATGTAACAGCAGCTCATGGCTTCCCTTAGGTCAAATGAACACAAAACAACATAGCCTTGAGCTTTCTCTGACCCGCGGCAAGCCCACACTGTGTCAGTGGCAGGGAGTGGATGCATGCCTCATGGGCCTAAATGGGAAGACAGCCAACCCTAGCCACTGGCTCTCCATGTCTCCAAAAAGCATTGTACAAGGCCTTAAAAAAGCCCTGTTGATTCTACCTGAACTAACCTACAAGTGACAAACTAGGAGAAAAAATATTTGCCACACACAATAGGCAAGGACTAATTCCCTTCATAAATAATACAAATAGGAAAATGAGCAAAGGACATTAATGAGAAAAAATGAGATGTCTCACATTCTAGTTTACCTCATGCATTACTAGAAGTGACGCAGTGACATTCAGACCCTCATTCCCATACTAATCTAAGCATCCACTGTCTGAACCCACTTCCCCTAGTCCCCACTAGAATGTATGGCCTATGAAAGATGAGGTTTCTGCCCCCGCAGAGATTTACAGCCTCGCAAACCCTATGCAGGGTCGCTATGAGTTGGAATCGATTTCACCACCATCATCATAAAACTCTGCTACAAAGGCAACCTCTGATAATTTCTTCTTTCTTCTGCCAAGTCAGAAATCACTAATGACCACCAGGTTGATAAATCTAATGGTCACTTCTCTGTTCTTAACTTGACCACTCAGAAGCACTCCTTCCATCTTGAAACATTTGCTTCTGAGGACCCCACACTCCTGCTTATTTTCTCCTTCCTCACTGGACATGGTTCTCAGGCCTCTTCTCTTCAGCTCTCTGTAGATGCTGGTGAGTTGCAGAGTCTGGTCTCAGCACTCTCCCTTCTCTGGCTCTACTGTCTCCCCAGCGGATGTGATCTTGCCCTATAGCCCTAAATAACACGAATATGCCAACAACTCCAGCTCTGATCTCCTTCCAGAATCCATGACTTGTATGTATATCCATCTGCCTACTTCATAACTCTGTATGAATGTTCAAAATCATCAAACCAAACCCACTGCCATCTAATCACGGTGACTTACAGTGACCCTGTAGGACAGAGTAGAACTGAACTAACAGAAACCGACGGCCACATCGTTCTCCCATGAAACTGCTAGTGGATTTGAACTACTGACCTTTTGGTTAGCAGCCTAGCAATTAAGCACTGCACCACCTTGGGTCCTGAATGTTCAAAAATATCTCCAGATTAACCTTTCCCAGAACCTCCCACACCTGGTTCTCCCCCAAGATCTGGTATCTCCGTTTAACTAGCTGCTCAATATTTTACAAGGCAGCAATTTACTAACAGGAAACAGTAATTTAAGGATTATTGCTCACAGAGGACTACGGTGACCACACTTCCTGTGGATGCTTTGAAGAGGACAGGGTGACATCCTCAATCTTCCCGATCTTCCTTACTGAACAGGTAAGGGCTCTGAGGGCAGACCGAACCCTCCTATCTCCTCTGTGGCTCAGTGTGGTATATATGGTAGTGGTGTACAGCTCCTTTCACTTAGGGACCACATCCTGGGCAGCCCACATGACAGCCTATGGTGAGGATGCATCTTGTCGGCCTTCGTAGATGGCTTCTTTGTGAGAGAGATCAGTGACATGTACAGAAGTGTCACTTCTGTGAAAATATAGTAAACACCAAATACATCCTCTCCTCCAGCCACTTGAGGTCCAAGTCTCATGCCTTTCCTTCCTTCCCTTTTCCATCGTCTCCAAACTCTACCACCAGAAAGAGGCCTAACATTTTAAACAGAACGAATTCCAATCTCTGTCCTCACCTTTCCACCCAATCTTTTATGTAATTCTGACCCCTCTGCCTCTAAACAGTGGTTCTCAAAGTGTAGTCCCGGGACCAGCAGCATCACCTGAAAACTTGTTCCCCATAAGGTTTCCAAGGCTGTAAATATTTACGGAAAAGACTGATACATATTTTTCCCATGAAGTGGCAAATAGATTCAAACAGCCAACTTTCTGGTTAGCAACCAAACACTTAAGCACTGCACCACCAGGATTCCTCTAACAACATGTTAGAAATGCAAATTCTTGGGCCACAATTAAGACCTACCGAGTCAGGAGTAAGACCCAGCAATCTGTGTTGGTCGTGAGCATTCTCAAGTTTGAGAACCACCACTCTAGAACCTGTCTCCAATGATCTAGTTTCTTTTCATCACCATGACTACCATCCCAATCCAAGGTGCTATCCCTGGTCTACCATGACAACCTCCTAACTGCCTTCTTGTCTCCACCTCCTTATAATTCATTCTTCACATAGCAGTCAAAGGGATATTTTTAAATGTTGAATCAGGTCTTGTCGTCACCCTGCTTACAACCCTCAAAGGGCTTCGCATAATACAAAGAATAAATCTGGTTTCTTTAACCAGTCTTGCCTATGTCTAAACCCCATCTTATTCTACTCTCATCCCTATCCACATAAACAAACAAAACCTACGGCTCTATTCTGACTCATAACGACCCTATAGGATAGAGTAGAACTGCCCCATAGTGTTTCGGAGGCTGTAAATCTTTACGGAAGCAGACTGCTTTATCTTGCTCCTGCAGAGTAGCTGGTGAGTTCAAACTGACAACCTTTGGATTAACAGTCCAATGCTTAACCCACTAAGCCACCAGGGCTTATTCACCCAGCCACAGTGGCAAATTTTAGCTTCTCAAACATTCTAAGTTTATGCCCCTTAAGTCCTTCGCATAGGATACTCCTGTGCATGACCCCACCGCACACATACCACCTTCATCAATCAGAACACCATAGATCAGCCTTCTCTAGTTAAAGCAGACAGCCAGCTATTTTTTGTTATGTTGTTATACTTTAATTTTCTACACAGCACTTGTGTTGTCAAGTGTGTTCTGACTAACAGCCACCCTGTATAGAGTTTCTGAGGAGCAGCTGGTAGGTTTGAACTGCTGACCTTGCAGTTAAGTAGTCCATTGCTTATCCTACAGTGCCACACCAGGACTCCACATAGCACATACACAATTGGATTTTTCTCTGATTTCATTATCCATCTACCCTGCTCAGTAGAAAGTAACTGATGAGTAACTTGTCGGTCACGTTAACTGACGAGTTTCAGCACCTAGAACAGCTGCTGGTAAGTTAATTCCAACTCCTGTCAACTCTATGCTTGTCAGGGTACAACTGTGCTCCAAAGGGTTTTCAATGCTTGATTTTTGGTAGTGGATCACCAGGGCTTTCTTCTGAGGTACCTCTAAGGGGGCTTGAAACCTCCAATCTTTCAGTTAACAGCCAAGTACATTAACTACACCACCCAGGGACTCCCATCACATATTGTTAAGTGCCATTGAGTTGGTTTCAACTCATAGACCCTGTACAGGGCTTCCAAGGCTGGAAATCTTTTGTGGGAACAGAAAACCTCATCTTTTTTCCACAGAGCAGTTGTTGGGCTTGAACCACCAATTTTGTGGTTTGTAGTCCAGTGCTTATTCTACAGAACCACTGCGCTCCTTCCACCATATAGTTGTTATGTGCCGTGGAGTCGGTTCCGACTCATAGCGACCCTGTACAGGGTTTCCGAGGCTGTAAATCTTTACGGGAGCAGAAAGCCTCATCTTTCTCCCGTGGAACAGCTGGTAGTTTCGAACTGCTGACCTTGTGGTTCGCAGCCCTATTCGTAACCACTTCGCTACCAGAGCTCCTTATAGTAGGTGTCCCATAATTACTTGCTGGATGAAACAAACAAACAGAATGTTGCTCCTTCGATGGCTTGGGAATGAGAAAGAGGATGGTGCTGTGTTGTTACAGTTCAAATTGCCCTTGCGGTCCAGTGCTTATCCTACAGTGCTACACAAGGATTCCATGGGGCTCTGTTGTTGTTTTTAAGTGCTGTAGAGTCAGTCCCGACTCATAGCAACCCTGTATAGGGTTTCTGAGGAGTGGCTAGTGAATTTGAACCACTGACCTTAAAATTAAGGTCGAGTGCTTAGCCTATGGAGCCACACCAGGACTCCATGGTGCTCAGTGCACGGGAAAAATATGCTTACAAAGCAGGCCCAAGGGGTGTGGGGAATGGAGGGAATTAAGCACCAGTTCAGAAACTCAAGACTGCCCCTGGTGGTGTCTTTAGGAAGAATCTGTCATTGTTGTTTAGGAGCAAAGCTGAACCGGGACCACAGCCTCTAGCAGGCACAGAACAGCATACTGGTCCTCTTATGGATTAATAGGAAAGAAAAGGGACAAATATGCTACTCACCTCTCCTACCTCATGCCACACAATCAACATGTTCCAAGATCAGGGTGCAGATGAAAAAAAGGAGATAAATTGGCACCTGGCATTTGAATTAAATCTCACTAACTCAGAAAGACCAGAACTCACATAGGCATTTATTCTGCTAGTCCTTCCTTCCGGACCCTCAATGAGGCCTACTCAGTGCCAAGTCTGACAATGCCGGGTGCTGGGCCAGACATCAAAAATGAGGTACTTGCCTTGAAGACACTCACAATCTAGTAATGGAGACAGACATGGAAACAGATAATTACACCAAAATTACTGGTAAGAGGAACAGAGAAGTCTGTCAGACTGCTATGGTGACAATGGGAACAAAGGGTGGCATGAAAGCTCCACCCCAATGCACATCAGCAGTACTAAAACCAAAGTCCTTTTCTTCCCCAAGTATGCATTCTTTGACCCAAAGATACTGTTTTTAAGAGAACTGACTGGAAAGAAATATTTTCTAAATTGTCAAAGATTTATGTACAGGGAGCTTCATCACAGTGTTGTTTATAACTGGAAAAAAAACTGGACTCAACATGTAAGTTAAAATATAGGAGTTTGCTTATGGTACATAACAAAATCGAACAAAATACGTTGCAAATACACCCACTCCTCACTTATCAACCAGGTCATTATGCAAAAATTAGCACTATGGGAAAATGAATGTTGCCCACATCAGATCACAAAATAAAGGATAACTACATCATTACATAACTGCCATGTTACAACATTACATAACTGGCAAGTTATATTGTTACATAACTCTCAAACCATTGAGAATCATGTTGCAGCTAAATTAATACAAATTCTTAACCTTTATAGCCAATGTTACCCTTACCTCATACCTCAGCATGTTACTGCAAGATGCACGTTGTTAAGGAACAAAATAGCTGGATAGTAGATTTTCCACTATTGTTGTAAAAGCAAAATGTTAGATAATATGACAGTTGTTAGGTGAGGAGTTATTGTTTTTCAGTGCTATTGAGTTGGTTCTGACTCATAGCCACCCTGTATAGAGTTTCTGAGGAACAACTGGTGAGCTTGAACTACCAACTTTCCACTTCAAACCCATCTTGCAGTCCAATGCATTAACCTGCAACACCACCCTAGGACTCCCAAGTAAGGGGTAAGTGTGTAGGAAAAATGGCATTAAGTATTTTTCTCAGGGAAGGAGAGGAACACTGGGTGGTTGAAGGACTTGTTGTTGTTAGGTGCCAATGATTGGGTTCCAACTCAGAGCGACCCTGTATAGGGTTTCTGAAGAGCGGGTAGTAGATTCGAACTGCTAACCTTGTGGTTCAAACTGACCTTGCAGTCCAGTGCTTATCCTATAGCACTACACCTGGAGTAGAAGTTGACTTTTCACTGTATATGTACTTTTGGATTTTTCAAATTTTGTATCAACTACAAAACATTCCCAAATATAATAAAATTAAAGGTAAAAATATATACATGTGTGTGTGTGTGTGTATTCCGCCATTCCCCCTAATTGGGAAATGATAAAAGTAGGTTATAAAACAGAAATAATGGTAAATTTTTACTTTGATAAAAACATAAACAATATGTTTAAAATTTATTTATCTGAGTAGAAAGTAATCTATAAGAACAGATACGAACATGTTCACAGTGGTTATCTTTGGTTGATAAAATATAGGTGATTTTATTTAGTTGTGTTTTTTTTTAATGTTTTATTGTGAATTATGTGATAGTTTCATGGGAGAACATTACATTCATCCTATCGTATATCGTTTCACTGCCATGGTTACAATCCCCTCCATGCATCATCAACTAACCAAAGGGTACACACTGCAAGCCTGCCTTCCCCAGCCCCCCAGGTTGTCAGCACACAGCCCCTCTCCTTCTCTGGGTCTAGAGTTCCCAGCCGCTCCATCTCTCCATGTCATCGTCTCTGCCTCCATCTCTGGCTTCACTGTTTCTCTGGGTAGCGTCACGCTCTCCGCTCTTCTCCCTTGATGGTCCCAGGGACCTCCACTCCTGGACTGCAAAGTTAATCACTCCCTCCTTTTGCTTCAAAACATCTACCTTTACATTTCTAACC